AATGAACTATAATATTAGGAAGAAAACGTAACATCAGAACGCCATGTTGTATTGGCGAGCTTCCTTTTCGTTATTATTCACATTTTGACAATGTATTTCCAAATAGAACACAAAGGAAGAAGAAGAAGAAGAAAAATATTGGCTCTGTTATTATTCTTTAAAAGTATTTTAATGGTTAGTTTATTTTTATTTATTATCTGAGTGAATTGTTTCCTTAAGATGGCCGGAGAGTTAAGTAAAAGGTATTAGAGTATGAAAACCGTTTACCCTGTTACAAAATGTAAAAAACAAAACTAAATGTCTAATGAATATGATAGAGCAATTTCCACCAAAGAAAAATATATTTTATTATTTCACTCGTTACAAACTTATTGAAAACAAGCAAAAAACTAAAACACAATTCTTTGAATTGATATGATGCATAAAATGTTTAACTAATTTAATACTTTCAGGAATATTCCTAAAATTAAATGTCTAAAAATTGTTTGAAAGATAACATTACGATAAGATGGACTACTGAACTCTGCAACGTTTACTTTTTGTCTTGAACGGTCTCAATGAGTATAATTTGTCCTTGTTTCTTATGTATCATTCACTTAATTTTATAATTAATCGTTTTAGTGTAGTATGTGATGAATACATAGTATTTGCATTACTTAAGTTTAAGCTGTTTGTGTTGGAAAATTGTATTGTGTGACTCACAGTATCTGGAGCCAACAAGACCTAACAGTAGCAATATGGCTTAGGGATTTTCCAATTACAAAGTGTCAACAGAAGCCACTGTATGCGACTATTTCAAGCGAAAAAATGCAAATGCTTCATCAGAAGTTAGACTACGTAGAAAACATTAAATATCATAAGTAGCTGCACTATAACTGTATAAGAATATTTTTTTTACATCATAAAAAGAGGGGGCTTGGCCGAATCCCTCCATGCGTACGTGCGTGTAATAATGTGTACAACTTTAATGCTTCGTCATAGCTTCCATTTATTTTTCTTCTTTTCTTTACCAAGGAGCCTCTATATAAAAACCTGGTAACTTCTACACCGTGGGCATTATCAGTGTAGAAATAAATGGATGAAATCGGTGTAAGTGGAAAATATCAACAGCTTTAGCCAAATGACCTGTATTTGTTTGTTATTCATATGAGATTACGAAAGTTCGACCTTGGAGAGCGAGCAGATACGCGTTATATATCGGTATAGTAACCTTGACATCTCTTTTATATAGGCCAACCTAGTGTTATTGTTTTTTCGTTTTTAATAAAATACAACACTTAAACCTTTTTGTAATGTTAAAAAATACTGATGTAATTTTTATTCATTGGGCAGTTTTGTTTTCATTAATAGGTGGAGTGTGTCACGAGATAAATATCGCCAAGTGCAATTGAGTGGGGTGTAAAAGATTCGAGCAATCACGAAAAAAATAAGACCAATGCTTAGATAAGCAAAGGAAAAACCACAGCAGTCAAGTAATAGCTATAAGTGTGAGTGGAGTTAAGTATTATTGGAAATACATTTTAGATTTGAGAAAATATTAACTTTATTAAGAATATTGTTGCGTCATTGAGTCACATGACTACTGTGACGCAACGTTTCTAGAACTATCATGTACTT